AAAATCCTGACTAAAATGCATCATCTGCGTCGTCTGTGTGTTCACGCTTAGGATGTCTGTATTCACAGTGAATAGAAGACGCCATTTGCGTCGGGTGTTTGTTCACGGTGCAAGCAAAGGATTTGGAACATTCAAATGTCACTTTAACCCTATTCAGACCTGGCTTTTTGGTCATCTTGGGATCGGGGGTTGTGGGTGGTGGTGTCATTTGGGGCCCACCCCATGCAACTCGAATACTACTTATGATATGACCGTCATTTTTTCAGGTTTTGAATTTCGGGATATTGTTCTATTAAATCAAATTATAACAACTTTGGAGTCATTAGTACGCAATTTATGTGATTTTTTTTATAAAACCGTAGAAACAGGTACCCAAACGTATTCAAGAAAACTTTAACAAAATGTGTGTTAATTTTGATTTTTTAATTACAACTGGGCTAATGATATGGTCCACCAAATTGGAATGTTGCCAATGACGTCATCACATTGCCATTTTTCATGACGTTTTAATGTTACAAATATGTAAGTGTTTTTATATATTTTTCATGTGCAAATAAACAATCAATAGATTTGTTGACAGCCACTCAGAAGAGTATTGTCAGCAGTCCTTTTTTTGCCTGGCAACAGATGTAGAATTTAAATAATAAATGTCCTTATTTAACATTATACTCAACATTTTTGACTCTACATCTCGTATAAGCCAATATTCTATTCGAGTCAGGTTTTTAAACCCAAATAAACGTAAATTAGAGTACTTAAGTGAGTCATAATTTTGCCACTAAGCAATCCAAATGAGCCTTCATAGGTAGTTATATCACTATTAAAGCTACTTACAAGGTGAAATACGCTCTCTACGGACTAAATTCAGCTCAACAGTGTAATGAACCTATCTATAAAGCCGCATAACACATTGACGCGGGTGTACAAAGTAGTAGGGATAATATTCTTGACGCCTGACTGGAAAGTCTAATGTGAAATGTATCTGTATCTGCATAGCCGGTAACACACCAGCTTCTGTATCTGTATAGCCGGTATAACCGCTCTTCGGCGTAACACACCAGCTTCTGTATCTGTATTTGCATAGCCGGTATAAATGCTCTTCGGCGTAACAAACCAGCTTCGCAGGCACGCGGCAGCTGGCTACATTACCCCGAACGACTTGTTACACCTAACCTTTGAACTTCTAACTCTAAACATTGTTTAAAGCTATCTAATGATGATGCCCCTACTGTACTTGGTGACAGTTAGTTCCACTCTGCGATAGTTCTAGGACAGAATGAGTTTTTGAACACCTCAATTCTTGGTTGAAAACTCTGGTACTTGAAGGCATGGCTATTTCTTGTTCTTTTCAGAGCTGCTATTAGGTGCTTAATAGTTGGTACGTCCACCAGTTTATTAGTCATTTTGTACATCATGCATAGTCTGGACATTTTTTCAGTCTTCCAGTGTCACCCACTGTAGGTTCCTTTTAAATTCCATTTCCATTTCACTATATGTAACACCGTTTTCATAGTTGTTCGTGCAGAATGTTGCAGCTTGATTCTGTACCCTTTCCAGTTCATCTTTGTCTTTCTTTGTATGTAGATCCCGTACTATAGGTAGACTATAGCCAGGGGTAGACTGTACTGTGTGGTTTTAAAATATAAAGGCTTTCAGACTGACGGTATAGAGGATTGTGTGTAAGGTAGAGGATAAGGCGTCTGAGACTGAACTAATGTCAACATGTCTAGACAAGGGACTGTTTACAAGTTTAAAGGCACGCAAAACGATTCCAGGGCAGTAAAACTGGATTTTCAAAGTCAATGTTCTGGTCATTTTTAAACAAGTTTGAACTGCAATATCCAACACAAGAAATTGGACTCACCCAAATTTTCGACTGTATAACTCTAGTCTTTGTCACGGAATGACCAATCCACCATTTTCGTGGCGTCACGCAGATAACGAACGTAACTCCGTGGATCATAGGTTGCAGAAAGTCTGTGGCGCCCCCCGTCTCTGGTTATTTGTTATAGTCCAGCTTCATACCTTTTGTCTAAAGTCGCCAAAATTGGCACACATGTAGTTAATGTGCTTAGTTAAAGCAGCCCTATCCCATAGCATACTGCACTGATATCTGTCGCTGATCAAAAACGGTTGCTTGTTTTTTTTATCTCAGGCTGGGTCTACATAATGTAGCTATTTATTGGTGGTACCTTGAAAATAATCTAAGGGACTCCGTGCGTAGCTTGTTTTGGGGCTATTTCATAATACTCTTCATGTACAAAATGATAATGAAAATGTGCTGAGAAATGGCATTAAATATAAGTGTCAGACAGATTTTCTCATCCAGAATATTTGTTGTTGATTTCCACCATGAAATTGCATTGGATGCTTTTAGACTTTGAACATAAACCAAAATTCATCAGCCTTCATACGCGCACTAAGAACTGTGAGGTGACTTATTTCAGCAACTAGTCAAAACTCTTTGTGACAAGGCAGGATCAGATTTATTTTCCCATGGATAGATATTTACAAAGTACAAAATTATACATTGCTTTGTAAGAGCATATCTTGTATAGCATCTTTGACAATAGACACAGTATATCAACCGCAATTTCTCTATCACGACAAAGTCATAAACAGCTCGAAGACACATATTTTCTGATTTACATAATGTACATGAATAAAATGATACCTACTGCAAAATGAGGAAATGATTAGGAGGTCTCAATTGTGATGCTCACTATCAGAATTGCAAAAAAGTATTTTTTTAAGTTTAACCAAATAGGGTCCAAATAGGGTAGAATTCTCGAAATCTACGTATCAGTACTAGTACATGAACGGGGCACTTAAAAGAATCGTGGAAGCCAATTTGATTTTAATTTAATTTTATTTTATTTTATTTTAAAATGAATTCTGTGATACTTTTTGTTCTCTTTGGATTTGAAGTCGGCAGCATTTGATAGAAATTGAAAAAAAATTGTATCTACCCATTGACATTCAAAATTGTTTTTGTATCACTTCTTTTTCAAACCAATTCCATGTGTAGAATCTTGTTATTGTCCGAGGAAAATTTACATGTCTTAAAGTAAAAGTAAATTGTGATATGTGAGCATCAGCTTATGTTATAACGTTAAGTTAATACTCGCAGTCTTCACAAGGAAGATCAAGGTATAGGGCAAATTTCATTTTCTAAAATATTGTCTGTTGGGTCAGAAATGGTGGTAAAGAAAATAGATAAATATTTTTGTTTAAAGATATATCAGCATCACAGTTTTATATTAGCAATCTATTCTCTATATTTAACGAGAGGGTCACAATTGTTAATTTCATACTTCAGACACGATAAAGTTATCAAGATATAAACGTCACTTTTATCAGCAACTTCATTTTATGTACAAAAATTGCAAGATGCTACGCTATACATACGGATATTCTCATTTATAAACCTTCGTTAGAAAATAGAGTTCCAACTGTACTATACGAACTGCAGCACATGTATATAAGTCTGTGACTCCCTATCAAGCCGGCGTGACACTGCCAATGACTGAGATTTCCAGAACCGTACTTTAATCCAGAACCATGCTCAGGTACGTTTCAGGCTGCAGTAGTCCAGAATATCCAGAACCGTGCCTGGGGAAATGTGCGTTCTTCAATGGATATGCAACCAAAAAAATAGTATCCTCACCGTAACAAAACCAGGCATAGAACTAGAGAGTCCAGAACCATGATCGGGTTCTGGATAGTCCACGCGTATCCAGAACCATGCCTTTGGCAACTGTGCCTTTGATAAGATAAGCAGATCTAGAGACAATCCAGGGACGTGCCTGATGCCAACTCTTTGTAGATAGGCACGCTTCTGGATACAATAACGCTCTTCTGTCTAATTTCTTGATCGTCTGGTAGTCGAAATGTCTACAAATCGTTGCGCAATTGTCGCTTCAAAACCTCTTCACCCCATCACATCTTATACGACTCATTGGCCTGAAAACATCGGATGATTCCTAGAAAATCCCCCGGTGGCCGAGAGGATGTCAGCCGTATTGCATCCGGAAATGCCCCCTTTTAGAGATCGCAGATTCGCCTGGTGAGCTATAAATTTATTCTTATCTCCAAGCAGATCTTTGGGTGGCTGCAATACAGTATCAAATTGACCAGGCAGCATCAAATACGTGGTAAAATGGTTACAGTATAGACTGTCATTGCTGAGTCTCTGCCATACTCCTTTGCAGGCTAAATAAATAGTAGAAATTGGCCTAAAAATGGGGTTCAATTTATCAGAGGAGTTGCAAATGGATCCTCTCTGAAGATCTGGCCGACCAACTCCTATGGCCACTTTAATTCCCTTTTTAGGCCAATTTCTACTATTTATTCAGCCTGCAATGGAGTCTGGTGGAGACTAGCCATTGCCCCAGAGAATCAGTGCTTGGAGACCAGCTCTATTTCCCTGTTGTGTGACGCCGGCTTTACCAAGGAGACACGGATTTAACCTGCTTGCCATTGCAAAAGGACTTGTCCATTGAACAATGCGCCAGGTTGCAATTGCAAAGCCCATTATGTAACATTTAAGTAGATTTTCTACCATGTAAGTAGATTTTGACATTGTACTAAGTTTAATCTACTGTAAAGCATTGCATAACAATATTCAGGGAGGGAAATTGCAACATCATTTTGCGCCATAGAAACGTTTCCAAAACTGTAATATTCCAAACCAAAACGTGGCCACACATGGCCTTATCATGCTTAATATGTGTTTCTTAGTTATAAGCCCAGTGGGTCTTTTTATAGTACCTTTTTTTTAAATAAGCTGACACAGTGCAGCTTGTTTTGCACAGTTTACAAGCAAATCATATTTTTCACAAAAATGTTCCGTACTCGAGAATTTTTTTCCCATTTCGGGACAAAAATGTTACATAATGGGCCTTTTATCAAGAAATTGACGAGTAGCAAAGATGACGTAAGTTTCTGCAGCAGGAAAAAGGTCACTTCAGTGGGTTTCTTTTCTTTAAGAATATTTTAAAGAGAATTTATCTTATTTTACAAGTATCCTTCCACACATCACGAGAAGCTCTATGTTCGACGCCATAAAACTTCCGTCGAAACAGTTCTGTCCGCCATGACAGTTCGTGGTTCCTGTTTGCAGATTCCAGTGATCCCATTGGTGCACGCGTTTCGCTGTCATCAGGTCAAAGTTCAAGATGATCCAATCAGCTGCTTGAACACTGTCTGCTGTGTGTGTGTGCACAGCCGGTTCAAATCTTACAACGGTTTTTATTTGCCCACGGCAAGCACGATCGCAACGATGATACCGATAATGAAGGCCACTAGGAGGACAATCCCGACATACCTCGCGATCATGTCCAGGCTGCACTCATTGCCGCCATATTTTTCCTGCTCCTGGAATATCTGTTGGTGCGTGTACGTGTTGATCTGAGTGAACACTCTGTCGTTGCACTCGTCTTCAAAGTCGATCGTGTCGTCGAACACAGGGTCTCTGACGGACAGGGTTTCTATGGCAACGTTTCCCATGCCGATTGACGCAGATATCGTCCTGTATCCAGGCAACATGCCGCTGGCAACGGACGACGGTCTTGATGTGGACTGAAGAAATAAACATGAAAAGGGAAATATGGAGTTAGAAGTCTTAAATGAATTCTGTATCTGAATAGCCGGTATAACCGCCCTTCGGCGTAACACACCAGCTTCACAGTCACGCAGCGCGGCGGCAGCTGCCTACACTACACAAAACGACTTTAATTTGTACACCTAACCTTTCAACATCTAACTCTAGACATTGTTTAAAGCTATCTAATGACAATGCCCCTACTGTACTTGGTGACAGCGAGTTCCACTCTGCGATGGTTCTAGAAAAGAATGAGTTTTTGAACACCTAAATTCTTTGTTGATAACTCAGGTACTTGAAGGCATGGCTATTTCTTGTTTTTCTGAGCTTGTACATTCGTAAAAAGATATATCTTGCGAGCTGACAAGTATATTACTTCAGGGTTAAACATTTCATATTCTTATTAAATGAAAATTAAACTCCAACTCAAGAATTTTTTCCTTGCGTTGAAGAACAGTTTAATTTTCATTATGTATTTTACCAACTCTGATGAACTTTCATGCTAACATATATTCTATTTGCATGGAGTTCTAAAAATAAAAACATATTTGCCGAGTGTTTATAAAGCCATAGGACATTCACGAGGCTTGCCATATGCACCACTCCCAAACGATGTCAACACATTGACTACAAATTGCTCATTAACGGTATGAGACGTGCTTGACTGTTGAAGAGGTCTCTTGAGTACCGTGATTTTCTTGAGCAAGTGAACCTAATAAGGATCATCCCGGCTGTCGCTAAGGTTTAAAAGGTCTTTGGTGATTGGCCAATGCCGTGATGCAATTAGATGTTGTTGATATTCAGTCACGTTTTTTTTTGGTGTTTGTGCTAGTTAACACTTGTCCTGCTGGTATTTTTTGCACAATATTTTTCAATAATTTCATGTCTTAATTAGGTCATAGATCCTCGACTTTTTTGGCCTGCGGTGGCGTAGTTACTTTCGCATTCGTTGCGTTTCGCTGCAGTGTGATGCACAAGAAATACCCCCCCCCAAATCGTACCTATACAGAGTTCTATATACTAGATGATACTGTATGTGCAGAACAACAAATGTTGGGCTCCACAGGACAAGGGTCTGTTGAAAGTGTATATTAACTTTTTCTTGCTTTACACTAGTTGGAAATGCAGGACCTATATATTACAAATGTGCACAATTGTGAATGGAAATATATGTAATCTCCAAGTAGATCGCTTAGGTGAAATCATTGTCATAAGTTGTCATCATTGTCATCATTTTCTGATTTGATTTGATTTATTGAGATTGTAACAATACAACACGTGGAACAAAGACAGCTGTTGCTGGTGTTGTGTCCCGCACATAGAACAAATAGAGGACAGACAGTACTCATTTTCACTTGATTTAAGTGAGGAAAGTCGTGTAAGCACAAGATCAGTGGCATGTCAGGACTCGAACCCGGGACCTCTTAGTTCCGAGTCGAGCACTCTGCCATTACGCCACAGAATATATGCCTTAGAAAAGCCTGGCAGTCAAAATAGGTTACAATCTTGAATATTAAAATAGACTCTTTTCACATAGCCAAGTATTTTATTCAGCCGACGTGTCGGTGACCGTCTGTCACCTTCCTCAGGGCAAATTTCTTCCCAAATGTTACAATGATTATCGTACATATGCCTTTGAAGGCTAGACATTCAGGCAGAAAAGCTCACGATGCAAGCTGTATCAAGCAGCTGAATAAATTCTCTGAGGACATATCAGATAACATATACATCTACTATCTTTCATGAGTGACTGGAAATTAAGCCGGAAGATCAGTGTAACCTGTATATAGATATCTGAATTGATACTAGTATGTAAATGAGTAAAATCAAGTAACTCCTTTTAGATCTTTCTTATATGTGGCCTCTTTTCTACCGTTCTACTGTTTTTGGTTTGATGTTTAAATCTTGCTAGATTGGCACATACTGTAGAATTGCAGTAGAAACCACTTAATTGCGAAACAGATGCCTTATTGCAAAAGCATGTCCATGATCATCATAAAAACCGGATAGTAGGAAAAATGTCAACAAAAGGTCAAGTTTTAAACTGTGTTCCAGATTTTAAATACCTAGGGTCCTGGATGAACAGTACAAGCCGGGATATTGATGTAAGAATAGCTCTGGCATGGGGAGCAATGAACAAACTGTCTGAAATATGGAAATCAAATCTGACCCAACCTCTCAAAGTCGGCTTCTTCAGAGCAGCTGTGGAGAGCATACTGCTGTACGGAGCAGAGTGTTGGACCCTGACCAAATCCCTAGAGAAACAACTAAACGGGACCTACACTAAAATGCTTAGAATTGTCAAAAATGTACACTGGTACCAAAAGATACCAAATAGTGTACTATACGAAGACCTACCCACAGTGAGCGAAACAATAAGGAAACGAAGGTTGAAGTTCATCGGACACTGCTATAGAAGTGAGGATGAAATCATAAACCAGTTAATACTGTGGGAGCCCTCACATGGGAAAAGAATTCGTGGTCGCCCAGCAAGAAACTACATAAATCAATTAATGGACGACACCCAGCTCAACAGGAAAAACCTGATGGTAGTAATGAAGGATAGGAAGAGATGGAGAGCTATCATTGGCACCGAGGGAAGCTCGACCCAGTGAGTGTGGGTGAGGAAAAATATCAAGATACAATACAGAATATCTGGAATATCCTCATAGAAACAATGGCGTTTGGGATTTCACAATAACCCTTTACAATTGGCAGGTCTTTGCAACATAATGTTTAGCAATCAACTGTTTTTTACTGCGATTATATGCCAATCTAACAAGATTCAAACATCAAACCAAAAATGTTAGAACAGTAAAACATAGACCACACATAAGAAAGATCTAAAGATCCATAAGAAAGGAGTAACTTGATTTTACTCATTTACACACTAGTATTCAGATATCCATATACGGGTTACACTGATCTTCGCACTAATTTTTAGTCACTCATGAAAGATAGTAGATGCCTATGATTAGTATGATATGATATGATATGATATGATATGATATATAAAAGATGCAAAATAAATCACCAAAAGCAACAGAACTTCTGAATGAGCCGACAACTTCAGACATTAGACTACCAAAGAGAACGAAGTCGTCTGTTTTGAGCCACAGAGAAGAACGATTTCTTTTGAAATGTACTTCGATAGAGATAAAAACAACTTGAAGATAGGCCCAGTGGATATAACAGTCTTTCTTCCTTAGTATCCGTCGTTGCTACCAGCATTTTTGTAAGATCCGAAAATTTACGGTAAAAGATCTACTCTCTATTTTTAGGCCACTTGGTGGAAATTCCAAACCTAATATGAAATCATAGGTTTCTGCTTGTCACAAAAATCAATAAAAATGACCCAAGCGTATCATATTTTGAGAACCCCATGATATAACCGAGTTCAACTCTTTCAGCTCTTTATATTGTTGACCCAAATCATATTTTTACTGTGATTTTCCTTACATGTTTTTCAGGTAGAATAATATTCCTATTGATTTTATGAAAGCTGTATAGTGTATAGTAAATTGTGTACATCAATACATCTAGGACATACAATCAAAAAGTGATATTAGTCCTGAAAAGCTCACGCAGCACGACCTAACTTTTCGTAAACACCGTAGTCTGACTTGTTCAAAGCGGTATGTGCCTGGACAAAACCGGCTAATTATGTTAGAGTGTTCCGTGGCACATCTGTTGTTCTCGACGGCATAAAAATAGAAAATCAGCGACATGTTTGTTAGCCTGTGTTGATGTTTCTCTTTGGCTGTATCTGTCTGTATCAGTATAGCCGGTATAACCGCCCTTCGGCGCAACACACCAACTTCTGTATCTGTATAGCCGGTATAACCGCCCTTCGGCGCAACACACCAACTTCTGTATCTGTATAGCCGGTATAACCGCCCTTCGGCGCAACACACCAACTTCTGTATCTGTATGGCCGGTATAACCGCCCTTCGGCGTAACACACCAACTTCTGTATCTGTATAGCCGGTATAACCGCCCTTCGGTGTAACTGTTAAACACACCAGCTTCTGTATCAGTATAGCCGGTATAACCGCCCTTGGCCTTCGGCTTAACATACCAGCTTCTGTATCTGTATAGCCGGTATAATAGTGGGTGCTACCTGAAACGTCTGACCGTTTCCAAAATCATACCCAGTTTTTTGGCGTATCTTACTACCTGGATGTCAAACTTTCCCCGGCGTATAACCTTGTTTACGCCAAGTTTCAATGACCCGTTTTTACCCCACCCCCTGCCCACCCCTCTAGCTGCATCTTACGGGCATTCTTTGAAGAATAATGACTCCAAATCAACGGATAATAAGATCGTGTTCTAGCGAAATGCTTAGATGCAATTCCTACGTAAAAGCTGACCTACATTTCTGACTGTCTGACGTAAATGCACTGATTGTGTCTTTTATGTAGAACACTACTCAACCCCATGGCAATTTGAGAAAAAGGTTGAAAGTTAAACAATTAGATGTTAAGACGGCCTGTGGAGAAGACATTTACTCCCACGCTCTTCAAGAAAATCCAGTTCTGCTGCACTGAAATTGTTTTGTACATGTCCAATTTCTTGACAGAATTTTAAAATGTACCTGAATTTTACGTTCTACGCTATTAGTCGATCTGTATTAGCGTTTGCTAATGTTGCAAGAACGGTTTGAAACATATACCAAATGTAAACACAAAATGATTCAGCGTCGTATCAGTATTCATGATAATAATTATAAAGATTTCAATCTATTTCTCCTCATTGAAAACTGGAAATATTCTAAATAAGGCAATCTTTATTATATTGACACATACTGCTTCACACTAGCACAATTCAATCAGTATTTCATACTTTGGGTATTTAAAACCGCAGAAACAAGCCCCAAGATGAGTCCTTAATTTTCTGGGTGGTACCCTAAAAATTAGTCACGGGCCCTTCCAGTAAACATTTTCCGTCAGAAATTTGGATATTTTTGCTCCATGAGGGTCAATATACATTGTGATAGTGTGGTTTCAACTCAGTATGTAGATAAGTGCCTGGAATATTGACTTTAGGTTTCCAAGCCCTAAAACTCTGCATTGGATGCTAGTATCTTCAATGACCTGTTGGTGATTCGTTCTGATATGATTTCCTAGATCTCAAAACAACTTTCTGCGTGTCACGACATATTGTTCACTGAATGATATAGCAAAAGCTTTGATAAAATCAATGTGCATTGACACGATCCGTCAGGAAATGCCTTTGATGTAACGTTATGTCGTGCTCAAAGCCGCTATTTTTCTTAACTGTTGCACTGAAAGGCACACGTACACATCACTTAAAACCTACGCACCTATCTACCCATACATAGTTCCTGTTTTGGCTGGCGTAAATAAATACTAGTAAGGCCTAGGAATGTTTTGTTTCCTGTTTCCCCAACAGACCCTAGAAAAAGATACCGACCCTGGAATTTTTTTTTGGGTGGACCTCTGTAAGGGACATAAATAATTGCTGATCAACCTTTTCTAGCTCCATGATCTGACACCTGAGTGATAAAATGTAGTACGATTGTTTTTCCAACGTTGACATAGAAAAAACAAGTGTCCTCATGCAAGTTTTACTCTGTTAAGCCGTATTGTATAAGTTGGACCCCTATATAGATATCACTGAATTCTAAATGAAAAAAGGGGGAAAAAAGATAAGCCCTACCTACCGACCCTAATTTTCAGGACTGAAACAGGAATAAAAAACATTTTCCTATGCCTAAATAAAGAAAGCTTGAAAAATATGCCTTAAACACGTAAAAAATAAGCCGAAGCATAAACATCTGCTTGGAGAAAATAGTTCATTTGACCAAACACTTAACATTACGTGAAACCAGGGCATTCTAAACGTGACCAATTAGAGCTAAATTATTTTCGTGTCATCGGTATGACAGTATATAATAATTACCTTCGTTAATGAGGTTATGTTTTCATTGCCGTTTTTGGTCGGGTTGTGCGGTGGTTTTCTTTATGGACAGCGTACATGTACGAGTAACTCAAGAAACCTTATGATATTTGGTATGTGGGTAGGTCTCGGCATAAAAAGAGAAAAAGAATTGTATGGGGTCGTTTTTTCTTAGACCATGTTGATTTGATTATATAGATGACATCCTCTGCAAACGCCAAAACTGACGTCAGTGTGCGAAAAAAAATTGGCAAAAAAAGTTTCCTTCATTATGAAACGTTGAACAAATGATTAAACACACAGAGTATGGTATAGCGAATAATAATAGACTTTTCATTGTCATTTCTTCACATTTTCTTTCCTGCATTGATTTCGACATTCTATGACAGTATAGTAATATCGTTTTGCAATACTTTCTTTGCGACATACGACATATATTCGCACATTTTGTACAACTTTTTTTGCAAACGGATGAAAATTCATGCGTGCGCGGATGTCTTATAATCAAATCAACATGGCCTTATATAGACTCAAAGTTTGATGCAAAGGTCTGAGCAAGGAGGTTCTCTCTTTAAATCTCAATGGAAACCTCCTTGGTCCCAGGAAGTTACTTTCTTTGAAGTGTCTTTGTAAAAGACTTAAGACATGTTGAGGTCTGCAGGGAGTTTTCTTGTGACGTCTTCTGATGTTCTTTTATTGTGCCGACTGAAGAAACGTTTTACACGATATCAAAAGTACGGTTTTGGTCTTTGACTTATCAATATCAAAGACATGTATGGATATGCATAGCGCACGTAGCTATTCCCTAGGTCAAGGATTCGGTACTCAACATTTTCCCTGCTGCCGCACCGAGCCACACTCTCTAACTTTCAGGGGCTGATTGGGTCCCTCTCCTTTCTCTATCTATCTATTGCCGGCCTGTCCAGCCGGGACCAAGCAAGTACAGATTTCTCTCCATAGATCCTTGTCTAACATAGCATTTTCTAAACAATCAAAGTCAATCCCAGTGTCTTTAACCAAAGAGTCTGTGAAGGTCCGAACTTCTGGAATGCACTCTGCCCCTCGGTTTCCACAAGAGGACGGTCGAGACTACCTCTTGCTTGGCTCTGCAACAATGTCCCGCAAACTTAACCCGTCGATGGGTGAGCTTAGCTCTCTCCTAGAGTTTGTGGCCATACACCTCTAACTCGATAGAACCATTCCCATTCCCTGAACTACGAATAGGAGCTTAAAAGGTTTCACTATGAAAATCAGCCCAGTAGAAGCGCACTGTCCTTTGTTTGTTTGTTTGTTTGTTTGTTTGTTTGTTTAGGAATTCCAGAGCTTTTTGTAGGTGTGTCTTGTGGCATTCTGAGGATATGTCCAAGCATAGACCACCTGAGTTTCTCGACTTTTGCGAGACGGAGATTAGCTTCACAGTGACGACAATGCCTAAGGGTCTATCGTCCCCTATAATGACCAACGCATGTTCTATGATTGCCACTTCATGGCGTATAATTGAAAACCATTACGAAAGCTTTGCCATTTTTAGCCTTAACAAAGTGTTTTTCTCTTAGGTATCTTTTCTTCTTTTTTTTTAAAGAAAACTTACATCCTGTACTTACGGTTCGATACATTCATCGTTTTTTTTCTTCTAATGTGTAATTGCAACTCTACTGCACATAGCTATAGGTTGGTCATAATTAGGAATAGCTTACTTGCAAGTTGTGGCCGTATTAACATATTCATATATATAATGACGTACGCATGTTCTCTGAATACCACTCCAGGACGTATAATTGAAAACCATTACGAAAGCTTTGCCATTTTTAGCCTTATATAAAGAACATAATTTTAATCACCTTTTTTGTCAAGGACGTTTTATATTGTGCTCACGAGAGCTTTCAGGTGTTTTTTTCTCTTAGGTATCTTTTCTTCTTTTTTTCTTAAAGAAAACTTACATCCTGTACTTACGGTTCGATACATTCATCGTTTTTTTTCTTCTAATGTCTAATTGCAACTCTACTGCACATAGCTATAGGTTGGTCATAATTAGGAATAGCTTACTTGCAAGTTGTGGCCGTATTAACATATTCATATATATATAATGACGTACGCATGTTCTCTGAATACCACTCCAGGGCGTATAATTGAAAACCATTACGAAAGCTTTGCCATTTTTAGCCTTAATAAAGAACACATTTTTAATCACCTTTTTTGTCAAGGACGTTTTATCTTGTGCTCACGAGAGATTTCAGGTGTTTTTCTCTTAGGTATCTTTTCTTCTTTTTTTTTTAAAGAAAACTTACATCCTGTACTTACGGTTCGATACATTCATCGTTTTTTTTCTAATGTCTAATTGCAACTCTACTGCACATAGCTATAGGTTGGTCATAATTAGGAATAGCCTACTTGCAAGTTGTGGCCGTATTAACTTTGTATTCTTAATATAATGACAAAAACGTGTTCATGCCCAAGAAAACACATTTCAATGCCACATGTGCCAACATTTGGTGCCCCTAAAGAAGAAATTGGGTGTTCCGGCCCAATTGATAACTAGTGTTATCACACGGGTTGTATTTCGTTATCCAATGGGCTTCCAAATGTTCCGTAGAATAATTCGAGTACCGGATTCTGACGTTTGATTACAATTTCTTCTTTTTTTTACGTTTGAATTCATGTTGTTACAATTTCTTCTTCTTCTTTTTTTTAAAGAAGACGAAATTGTAATCATGAATTCAAACGTCAGAATTCGGTACTCGAATTATTCTACGGAACATTTGGAAGCCCATTGGATAACGAAATACAACCCGTGTGATTACACTAGTTATCAATTGGGCTGGAACACCCGTATCTAACCTTATCGCGGCCCAGGTATAACGTACTAGTAATAGTTGTTCTTACCGGTCTGCCATCGTCGAATCTGTCGGTGACAGGAGACAGTCTGCTCCGCTCGTCTGTGGTGACTGTTCCCGGCAACACGAAAACTTCCTCCTCCGCTGTCGGCGGCGTGCTCAACTCCCCGTTCGCATTGATGTCTTTGTTCAGCTTTTCACCCATCTGAGTCTAAGAAAAAATACAGGATAATTATGTTTACCGAAGGAAAACATATTGTTTTTACTCAGTTTCTTCCTCCTCTTCTGTTCCAAACACTAACCTTTGACCTGGCCAATGGCATGATTTGTTGACGTCTGTCCCCATGGTGACTGGTGTTGGGTTACATAATGTTGCAATTTCATGGTCTGCTCTGCTCCTGTCACCATATACTAGTACTACATGTATGTGAATGTCTTGAAGCAACAATTAACTGGCCAGACCATGTCCGAAAGTAAACATTATGCATTTGCTTTGCAAATGTTACTTCTCTAGTTGATAGTTATCCTACCTACCTGGTCAGATAACTACTAGTTATACTAACCACCCGATAAAATACAAAGAATATGGAGTTAGTAGTATTGAACTAGATTCGTAAAAAGATGTAGAATGAGATCTGAAAAGTAGATTCCTTCAGGCTTCCAATAGTTTTTATTCTATTCGAATGGAGTATGAAAAATAAAAATACTTTTTCCACGTGTAGGTTGTTTTTCTAGGGAAAACCAAACGCCGTTGTATTTCGAAGGGTAGCGACGTAGAATACAGGAGAAACATGACATCTGCGTTCCAATTGTTTAGTCTCCACAGGTTAGCGTTCGGCCCGCAATAGGTGATTTTTTGTAGCGACTACAAACCGAGTGTTCGGTGATTTTTTTAAGTGGCATAAACGGTGATAAAGTCAAGAAAGCACCAAGTCAGTTACCAAACTAACCACGTAGCTAACAACAAACAATAATAAGAAACAAACAAAAAACAAAGAGATAGTTAAGTCAGTCAGAACGACCTGGTTGTCACCCAGCCACTCAAAGAACCCAGAAAAAACATCGTGTAAAGAAATGGTTGCTGAAGAGGTTGCTCCAGACAGAATTGATTGGTCGAGTGATTACTACATGTGGTGATAGGTTCATGCTTGTACAATAAGTTACAATCACAGAATCGTAGACACAGAATAACATCAAACGTCGGGTTCTGCGTTCTGCGTTCTGTTAAATTCAGTGCCCCTGGTTGTTTGGTATTTAGGCCACACTGATTTAATTTTATGGATAACCACCGCGTGCGCATTGATTTTCACCTGTTCTCAAACAACGAAAAATCACCAGGCTCTGGTCCTGGTGCCATCGCCCGTAGTCCATGGTAGCTAGCCAGAGACAGTAGGGAGCCGGCGGTAACTACGGAGGATGGCATCCAGGCTGCCGAAGCTGCACGGAACTCAAGAACTCAGTACAGTCATCATCATCATCATCATCGGTCGACCGTATTGGTCGGGGTTATACCGCCCCTTACGAGGTGGCATACCCTTTCGTTAGCTTAATACAAGACGGGGTTCGCCACGCCTCCGTCTGGGTGATGATGTAATCACCATGTGGCTGATACGGAACAGAGGTTCGCCAGGCCTCCATTCGGGTGATTTCAAGTGAAGTGAATCACCAACTCCATACAGTAGTGTTTGTACCATCGCACACATCAGTACAGTGCCGACTCATAAATGCCGCAAAAGGCCAGCATGTGCCAGCTTGTCGTCAAAACTCGCTACCTACTACCGCAAATTCACAATACCAGCTTGTATTCCTGTGGTTTAGCAGCAGTTTTGTAGCTGGAATCTTTTTTATTCACCCGCGCGCACTACATGTAGTTTAGGAATGTCATCCATAAAATTAAGGTAGTATGGCCTTAGTGTTTCCAGGCATGCAGCCGACTGCGTAGAAATCGTTTTCTCTGTCAGACTTTCACCGAAAGACAAACGGCAGGTCTGGAAGGTTGTCCCGCTGAGGGTAACACACCGTCGAGTCCGAAATGAGTTCGTGGGAGGAATCCTGCGGCTAGAACATCAAGCTCTGCGTGCGGAATGCATTAAGAAAGACGGACTACGTCTAACACACTCGTCATGTCGATTTAGGAATCTTGTATACCATTGCCAAGATCCTACATCCCACCTGCTCTCCTTTATCCCCACTATTATATAATAACTGAAAATAGAGTAGAGGTTGAATTTATATGATGGTACTTTTATTTTGTATCTGTTAATTAATGTGTCTGCTCATCAAGTTTTCTTGTGACCTAGTACCTATAGCCCGGTGTGGAAAAATGTGGAAAAGGGTCATTCATTCAATTATTGTAAACGTTAGGGTATAAAAGATTTTCTTTCCAAATATGATGCAAAATATGCATTTTCACGTGAAATGAAACCAATAAAAACAACAGAGTTTCGGTTTATGCAACCTCTGTAATTTGTGTAATCTTAGGGTAAAAATTTAATTTTTGGGCCAGAAATGATTTTAAAAATGCATTTTCACGTCAGGTTAAACCAATCAGAACAACATAGTTTTTTATGCAATCTCTGATTTTTTTTTGGTGAACCTTAGGCTAAAAAGGTTATTTGGGGGCCACAAATGATGAAAAAATGTTTTTTTTTTTTCGTGGAATTAAACCCATCAGCTACAGTACAGATACAAAAACGGCGGATATTTTTCTATTGAAACATATATTGACAAAACATGGTGACGGCACACTGAAGTTACACTTATATTCATGTCGCCACCAACACATAAGACAAGACATAATACATAGCTATAGGACAAGCAAAGCACGAATTTAGACATATACATTAAATACAATGATCATAATTAATCGATGAACAAGTAAACAAACAAATACAAAGACTGACAGGACTGGCATACCAAGATACTACAAAACCAGTTCGGATTGTAGCAAAAATATTTGTACATGGAGCAATATTTGAATGTTATGAGTTGTTTAAAGAAAAAAAAAGAACTTCCTAAAACTAAGTGTACTAGAATATCATTTGACAGATTATCAAAGTTGGTGACAAAGCCTATCAGTTTTCTTAACGGCGGATATTGTAAAGAGACCTCAGCGGAGGTATAATAATCACTTCAATTATAAAGAAAATCCTACCACTGATATTTTCACAATAACGTACCGCGTGAAGCATAGCAAAACGCCCACATGAAACATCAATGGACAAAAGGGCTCATCACTTTCACAAGCGGAAACCCAGACGTTATATAAGCTTCGAGTCCAAAATTTAATTCTGACAAAAACATAATAATGGGTAAATTTAGAAGTGGGTAAATTCGTCTTTCACTGCCTAAAAAGAAGAAGTCAAACCCAGTAAAAACTAGCACCATGCATGTTGTAGAATATAGTATAATGCTAGACGTAGATATAGTCTCACATACCATTGTATTTTCTTTCTTATGTTGTTTGTAACTGCAATTAGCCCTTGGGCAAGTATTTGCAATAAACTTTCTTTATAATAATATTCTTACGCTTTTGCAGCCTTGCTATTATTTAATTTGATTTTGCAGCAAAAGAACAAAGCAAGGTGAACTTATGTAAATTTATGACTTGCTAAATCATCATATGGATTGTAGGTATTGCAAACATCATTGTAAACATGAAGTAAAAATTTACTTTAGTACAATGGATGCTGGAATCATTTAAGGTTAAATAAAGAAGAGGTTTTACATATGTTTTACGCTCCAATATATTCTTAGACGGATTAATTCGTTTATCCGTATAACACTTTGTGTACTTACTTAATCATACATCTTCCCATGATTTTAAAATTCCATAGGAAATATGTTAAGCTCGATCCACATATTCCCGAGTTATGCTGTTGACATACATACAGACCCACACCACAGGCACTCTACCATGGACAAACCGAAAATATAACCTTCTAGCGAAGGTAATGACCACACTTTTATATATATGTATATACTCTATAATCGCGTAGAATGCTATATAAGACCTGCGAAATTTTCAACGCTTTGTACATATGTAGACATACCCTCCAAGCTCACTGACTGAACGTACATAATTTTATATGGGCATATGTTAACAATGTAAGGATTTTTAGTACTATCGGGTAATAGGATATCGTTTTGTAATGTTTTAATGTAGAATTGTATCGTAGATTTCACGTTTCAAGTTTTACGCTTTTAAGTTTTAAGCGAACTGTAAATTGTCTGCAATTCTGTGACCGGGATCTTGAATCGTGAAGAATGATGACCATATGCGATAAATTGTCGCTAAAGTAGCAACGTTTATGTCATGACCATTTTAACCAATGTCATACCTCCTGTTTTCGATATTGTTAAAATCACAAAATACCTGGAATAAGTTGCTAAATATTTGACCACCTCAGTGGAAAATGCTATCTATAATCGCGTAGAATGCTAAGACCTGCAATGTGAAGAATGATGACCATATCCGATAAATTGTCGCTAAAGTAGCAACGTTTATGTAGTATTCCTTTTAACACAATAACCTTCCTCCTGTTTTCATGATTGTTAAAAATGGCAACATACCTGGAATAAGCTGGTTAAATGTTTCACCACTTCAGTGGAATATAATACCAGAAAACAACTGAAAAATGTCAACATTTAGGAGCCTGGCACAAAATGCAACAAACCATGTCGTCAGCGCCATCGCCAATACAGACTATATGTACCTGAGACACGATCTCGGAAAACTCGTCGAGAAATTCCACCCGTTGATTGTAGTATGAGGGCAGATAGTCCGCATGGCTGGATGACTGTCCGATATAGGGTCCTATAAGAGTCAAAACCTTCATGCTTGAAGATAGAAACGCAATACCATTCGGTTTGGTGGCGAGCGCACAGGTATATCAGCGAGACATCTGTCACGACTGTCCGCTACCGGTGGACTGTACCAACTAGTAGACAAGCAAGGGGTGTGCCGTGGGCGTAGTGCGTAAACGCAGTCAGCTGCTGTACTGAAGTGTCCTGTTTGAAGTTTGTCCTCGGGCGACGGCCAGGAATCTCATAAGAGATGAAAGCAGCTCCGAGTGAATCAAAGGGAAGAATATTCATACGCAGAAGGGCGTCGTAATTGCGTCTGGTGGTTGCTACCAGGACTGATTCTATTGCCCTGTGCAGCAAGTTGGCAGTGCGGATTTTTCATAACCTGGTATCATGTCTACCGCG